GACACTCGCCATTCTTTTTCATCTCCTGTAGGATTCCTGGCTATCTTAATGATTTTGTCACACTCAACTGCACAGTTTGTAGCCATCTGACAACTTGTGCACCTGCGTTTCTTCTCTGTTGCGCTTTTCAAATGAGCTCACATTTTGTAGTAGAAGTTCATAGCTTTCAATACACTACAACGTGCTCAGCTACTAAGTTTTTATCTTAATTTATCTTGCATTAGTAAGTCACGTGCGGAATGTTAGTATTTCATGTGTTGCTGAGAAATTAACATGGAGCTAAGCACTCTGTTAAGTTGTAAAAATGTCTTCAACTTTTTTTACTTCCTTACAACTAGTAGTTTAGTATATTCCTTCTAAATTAAAAGGAGACCTTCAGCGAGGGCTGTCATGGTTTAAGAATAAGATATACTCTTTGTTGCTACATAATCCTTGATGCATCAGGTAATAGTTATTAAAGGATTAATGGGTTTCACAGAAGAGTATATCCTGTTGATAACTTACCAAGACTAATGAACTGAGGCCAAGCTTGTATGCAATGCCTCTTTTAATTTTCAGGACAAAGAGCAGCACAGATAGTCCATTCCTGACAATGGATATCAAGAGTGACTCCAAGATTGAAAGGAAAAAACGTGCCTCGAATCAGGTAGGACAGAGGATTGACTTGTTTGTTTGTGTATAGTAAGGGTAAATAAGTAACTACCACGAGAGCCCCCTTGTTTAGCAGTGTTTTAGTTCACGGTTGTGTAAGGATGTAGGTTCCTTTTTCATCAGTCTGTTAGAGTCTGAGTAAAGCAGGATACAGACTTAGGAGTCACATAGCAAAAATGAGGATTTAGTGTAAAACAGGTGGGCAAAATGAGCAGGTATACAGGAAGTGGAACGGGTAACTTGATTGTAAGACAATCTAATGAGTGTGTATCTCTGGGTGTGGGGCTTTTTGTTTTTTAGCTGAAGGCAAATGCACACTTTCATAAGCTGTTTCTAGATGTTCCCATTGATGAGCCATTGAAACAAAGTAAGTATTAACCCCCTTGTCATTGCTGGCTATGGATCTTAGATACTGTTGTGACTTGTCAACTGTGGCAATGTACAGGAGGGACTACCTAAATTTTAAAAACCTTAAACTCCAGCTGCCTAGAGCTAGAAGGCCTTCTTCTGCATGCCATGTGTGTTTTTGTTGTGATCTTGCAAAACTTAAGTCTTCAGATGTTGGACATGTTTGGGAATTGTTGGCCCACTTTGCATTTCTTAGCAGAGCAACCTGTTGCAACATTTTTTGGTACTGAAGTCTTCCTTACTTAAGGCACTACTCAACTGAGACAGCACTGGTCAGGTGATTAGCTTGAGCTTTTGCTGTCAATGGTGCTTTAAGATTTAAAAGCTCTGGTAGGAAAATATAAAATACTTAGACTCTGCTGTTCTCTGTAGTAGTTACAAAAAGTGAATTCTACATAGGTAGGTATAACAGAAGTTTCTGGAAAGAAATACAAGGAAAGCAGTTCATGAGTGAGAAGTGGTTTGCTCAGTGGCTATAGAGTAAAAGCAGTAGTACTTTGTGTTGTGTCTCTGTTGGTCATCTAGTCGAGACAAGTACTACTGAGCTAAAAGTTAAAGCTAAAACCTTTGCCTGGGGGCTAGTTGCATGTTCTTATGCATTTCAATCTTTACCCTTCAGATGTTTTGGGTCTAAATGTAGGCCTGTGAAATCTTCTGAGCTTGTCAGCATTAGTTAAGCTTACTTTCAAGGTTTGGCAATGTTTATCAAAAGGCATAAACTTAAAAATATTATAGCTTTGAAAAAAGAATAAAACAAAAGCCGAACTGGTTGACTTGGATTGTGGTTACCTTAAAGATTATACAGTATCTATTTTTTTCAGGCTTTACCTGTGCTCTGCAGAAAGAAATTCTGTACCAAGGAAAGTTATTCCTTTCTGAAAACTGGATTTGCTTTCATTCCAAAGTTTTTGGCAAAGATACTAAGGTCAGTAAAAACTTTATGTAGAGAACAGTAGTGGTGTTCCTTAACAATTTGTTCATCACCAGAAGTTCACACTGTTATGCAAGACTACTAATACTTGGATGTATTATTGAATACAATCAGTGTTCCAAAATGATGCCCAAAAGTCACTCTAGAACTGAAGCACTGTTATTATGACAGATAAAGTCTCTCTCAAGGACATCCTGTCTGGAAAGAAAATAGATGAAAGGAAAGGATCTGACATGCAACACTGAAGGCATTGCCAAGCCCATGTAGCTCAAACTGTACAAAAATGTCTCTTTTGACATAAGTATGGAAAAGAGGAGGAGGAAAGAAGGCTAAAAAGTATAAGGACAACAAGTTGGGGAACTGGAGGGAAGGATCAAGCATATTAAGAGAACTAAAGTGGAAGAACTAAAACTGGCATCTGAGTTGAGTGGCAAAGGTCTTTGAGAGATTCTTCTGTTGCTCCTGTTCTATGAAAACAGGGGACAGGCAAAGAAAATCCAGGTTACTAGGTTATTACTTGTGAGCCTAGTATGAAGGGCAGAAATGGGACATGAGCAGTTGTTAAGATCCTAGTTTACAACACTGGTGTTTATTCTTTCTTGGTGCAGATATAAGCCACCTAAGGCTTGGGCCCACTGTGATGAATGAAGTGTCTACAGAGTAAAGTAAACCCTTTCCAAAAAGATTTATGTTCTGGTTCTCTTGATACAGAGCTTTTGGGATGGTTTTGTTTACATAAACTCTGCTTTGTTTTTTGAGCGTTTGTTGGGAAACAGCTTGATATGCTGCAACGATTTTTTGGTTTCTTTCTTGAGTACTTCTTTGGGCAAAGTTCCTGGTTAGATCCCCAGACCCTTTGTCAGTGAACTTGGTGCTAAAACGAGTTTAGGAGTTGACAGTATCTCATTTCTCTGCTGTCAACCATTTTGATGGAACACCATCTGTCTTTGAAAGGTCTTTTAAGAAGGTGGAATAGGTATAAAGGCTGTTTAAAAATTTTTGACATGTTGTTCATAGTGACCTTACGGGTTATTGTGTTTTACTGCTTGGCCCAAGAAGCAACTGAGTTACTGTTTCACATGGATTCTGTTACTTAATGGATCCTCTTAGTCATAGTACATTAGTGGGGATAGCGCACGTGTCTGTGAAAGCCATGCGGCACAAGGAAGGAAATCAAAGTTAACAAATGGTTGGATACCGTCCTTCATGATTAGTAACAGCTATCTTTGGAATTAGTTTCATTAAAACTGAAGCTGCTGTACTAGCAATCTCCTGTTCACCACAAACAAATATGACTACTTCAGACTGTGGGACAGCTTTCTAAACAGAGACTAAGCTAAATATAAACAAAAATCTAGTGAGCTCTACCAAGTAGACTAGGAAGACCTGGAAAAAAAAGATTCAGAATGATAATGATGTAGTACTTGGAAATTATCATTGTCAACAGGGTTTTAAATGCATGAATGACATATGTTTTAAATAACACATATGACAAAAACGGAAAATGTATTACAAGGTAGGGTAGAGTATACAGTATTTGCAACTGTGGCTATAATGGTACTCCAAATTATTCAATTTGAGGTCACTGTTCTCAGAAAACATTGCAGGGAAAATCAGGAGTGAAGAGGATAGGCCTGATCATTTACTTCCAGTGTCTTCCTCTGCAACACGCATTTAAAGCTTTTTCCAGTCACATACAGCAGGCACAAGATTTAGGAATTCCACCAACAAAAAAGCCAGAAAATCTGCTATATAATGAAAAGTAGTGTAATGGGAGGGGAAGGAGGGAATCAAGGTTGACAGGAAGAGGAACATTCTTAGCAGTCAAACCAAGTTTCCACGACACAAAACCTCTATTGCTTAGAACTTGTAGAACAGTTTAAGCTTACTGATCAAGCGTTTTATTATAAGAAATGGCAGGTCTACATGTTCTAATAGCATTTTCAACATGATTTCTTCTACCTGCAGAATTCTTTTTTATTGAAAGCTTTGGTGAAGGGAGTAGTCATGCAAGTCAGGAGATTTGAGTCTGTAGTGTACACATTTGTGCGTATTCAAAAATAAAAGATTGCTCCTGCAGGACTGAATAGACTTGAAAGATATCATTGTCTTTCCAGGTCATTCTGGTTTTGCTGTATATATTGGCTTTGAGTCTTTCCTGGGGCTAAACTTTCATTACCTTACGCATCTTAGTTGCTTTCCAGGTTGCCTGCATGTAAATCTTGTTTCCAGATAGAAATAAAGTACTTTGCAGTGATTTTACTATTTTAATCTAATGCTGGGGTAACCATGCTGTAAGCAAGTACTTAATCCCACTTAAGTACACTTTAGTCTTGATTACAGTAATGTTATCCATCAAAATAGCATGCAGTAGAATGCCATTAACATCTCTGATTTGAAGTTCTTTTAGGTGAACTAAACCAATTAGAAAATGTCTAAGCTGCTTTTTTTATCATTACTATTAGGAGGATTTCTGCTGAAAAATTTTCTGCTTTAGTTTTGGTTTGTTTTGTTGTTTTGCTTGTGGTTTTTTTTTTTTCTTTTAAGTTATGCAGATTCTGTTCTAACTACCTGAAGATTATGGTTTTTTTTTTCCTGTCAAGAACATATGGTAGCTGCTCCCTTCTACCCACTCCAAGAAAAAGATTTTTTTAAAGAGTGTTGCAAAAACTGTGTGGAACAAGAATATCCAGTTCAAGTAGAAAAAGTATAGTGGACAACCTGTTTTAATTACCTGTTTTCAAAAGACATGTCTTCTGAGGCAGGATAGACAGAGTTGCCATTTTAAAAAAAAAAAACAATAGAACAAATGACAGTTGGATTTACAGATTCTTAGACCCAGGTCTGGGATTAAGAATAATTAAAATTATATTCTTTGGCTTGTTTTGGGTTTTTCTTCTAGCCCACTTTTTAAATTAAACTGTGTAAAGAGTTTAACTTAAAATTAATTTTTTAAAGATTAAATTTAATTTTTTTTTATTAAACTGTGTAAAGTACTGTGTAAAGGGTAAGTTTCTAGCCCTTAGATGACAAGCAGATACTTGACTAGCCATACTTCAACAGTGGTTGGCAATTCTGAACCCAGACTAAAATACATAGATATGTATTTTTTTTACTTGAATCAATGTTTACACACAATTTTACTTTGTGTTTTTGAAGAAAAGTTAACAAGGTTTCATGACACTGCCCAAAGTTACTTCATTCTGATTCTGCACTGACATATTTTTAATTCAGTACTGTGATTGCTCACTGAACTATGTTTGGACACTTAATAGTGCTTCCCGGTGTCTCAAGTAGTTGTGACAGTGTGTGCCAAAGGAATTTTTAACAGAAGCTGTATCTTAATCATGTGCATCCATGATTATTATACTTGCCTAACTTGTTGAGGTCCAGGCTTTTCAACTGAAAATCAAACCAGGTATCTGATCCTTTGTAATATGGGGTTTACAAGAAGATCCCGTGCAGAATATCTAACCTAATACTCTTAAACTTAGCAGGTGTTAAGCTAATGGACTTGGATGTAAACACAAAGCAAGAAGGAAAACTGTGAGCTTTTACAACTGGTTTGTTCTGCAGATGTACAGTGAACTAAGCCTGTAGCCTTTTAAGACCTGGAAGGGATCAGGAAAGGAAGACACAGACAAAAGCTTGGTTGGCATCTGATAAAAACAGAAGTAAAACTGATAAGAAATAGCAATGATTGGAAGCCATGCCTGTTCCATATGAAATATTAGTAATCAGAGACATAGTGGAGAAATCTTTAAATAGGGTGTTGAAGGTCTGAATTATCACACTCGGTAGGCTGGCTCCTTGTGAAAGAGCACGCAGATCTGTGTGCACATTTGAACTCTAACACTGCTTTGATCTTGTTTCAGATTAGTATACCTGTGCTCTCAGTGACACTTCTGAAGAAAACCAAAACTGCCCTTCTTGTGCCAAATGCTCTCATCATAGCAACAGTCACAGATAGGGTAAGTACTGGTATTACTTTGTACAGTAATAGTGCAAAGCTATTACACTCTGCCTGCTTTCTTTTTCTTTTTTTCCCTACTTTTTTCCTTTTTCCTCCCTACCTACTGGCAGTAATATGAGGGATTCTTGAATGTGCCAAGTGGCAACTTAAACAGCTATAGGAATTGGTTGCACATGGGCACCCAGACTTAAGACCTTGGAAGATCTGGTTTCTCAGGGGATAATCCTAGCTTCATCTGCCTCCTCTCTTGTGACAGGCAAGGACCCTTTGCTTTTTTCCTCGTACCCTTGTCTTTTTTTCTTTGTAAACAGAGTTGTGTAGAACTGGGTGAGAAAATAAGAAGCGAAATCTCTGGTTGCCACCTGCTCTGTGTAATCTGTCATTCTGTGTTCTCCACACTGCTGTGTAGTAGCACTGGAAGAATTGGAACAGCTGGGTCAGGAAGTGCGTGAACAGGGGACTGCATTGTTGGTAGCTCTAACAGCATTCTTTCATTTACTTGAGTCTCTCACCTGAAAAGCAACACCTTACATGCACAGAACAGTTGCTTACAGTGATACTCAGGAACAGTAGTTGCCTCACAGTAGAAAATGTGATTATCCTAAGAGCAGCTTTAGAACCATCTCATTTTCATTGCATAAATATTTTGTGGATGCAAGTGACTGTACAAAAAATTAAGTTGGTTATGGATTTTTTAAAGGAGTTTGTAAAATGTAGGCAGTCTTTTTAGGAAACCAAATGCTCTGGTTACATAACTTTTATATACCTGTTTTCTTGTGGTTAACCTCTGGTCATAGGCTTAGAAGGACTGGAGGTTTTTGCTGCTATACAGAAGTTCTTGAAAATAGTTAATCAACCAGCAAAATCTGTTTTATTTAGATAAATGGAGGCTTGTACTGTATGCCTTTTCTCAAACAGTTGTGGAATTTTTTTTTTTAGTACATGTTTGTCTCCTTACTCTCCAGAGATACCACCTACAAGCTGTTAAAATCTATCTGTAGACATCTTGAGGTAAGTACTAATGGGAGTAAAGATGGTGTGTAGCTTTGTATTCATTATTGCTGCTTTTCTGCTTTTAAATGCTAGGTAGTTTCTGAGTTTGTTCCGTGTTAACACTGGTTGTTTTTTTCAGGATACAAGCATGGGCAACAGTCCAAATCCCTCTTCTGCAGAAAACAGCTTCAGGGCTGATCATCCCACAACTCTGCCTTTGGTAAATGGCTTGGATGTTTGTTCTTTTGTTGCATGGCACCTTTCATTGCAAGTACTACTTAAAATGTCTGTAGAAATGAAACTGAAGTCAATTGTGACATATATTTCTAAAATTTCCTTGATTTTTTTAACGTTAGGAAGCAGTGGGAATGTTTAGTATAGGTATAATTAGGTCTGATCACATGCAGTATATATACGTGTGTATGGTTTGGCTATATTCCAAGGTCGGTATGCTCTACATCTCTCTCCTTAGCAGTCAGGTTTCACAGCATTCTGTAGCATTCCTCTGCCATGAAGAGTTTTTAAAGTGTTTCTAGTTGGAATCTTTCCTCTGTGAGCCAGTTCAGATATACGAAAGAGCTGCGTAGCCACATGTGATGACCAGAATCTAATTCTAGTAATGCTTATCCAGGATTCTCAGTTTGTCTAACCAACAGTCCTCCTTTGCACACAGACTTCATGACTTAAAGGCAGGGATGAGGCTTGAATTCTGGTGATCATATAGGGCTTATTTTGCTAGCTTCATCTCAGTATCTTGATATCAGAGATTGTTCCTGGTTAAACAGTTATAAATCTGAAATTTTTGGTTCAGTTTCTGGAGAGAGGTCAGAGGAAATAAAGTTTAAGATTAAAAACATGGCTGAGCTTTCTTGTGACTCTTTCTCCTCATCAGGATTTCAATGAAGATTATTCTGATCTGGATGGAATAGTGCAGCAGCGGAGACAAGAGATGGAAGAGTCCAGCAGTACAGGCTCACAGACCCCAGAGCTGGAATGCTTCCAAGGTGGGTGAGATAGTGGGGCCCCAAGAATGACTTAGCTCTTAGTTTTGCTATCTATAATCGCCACAGTCCTGTAGAATTACATGGGTTTTAAGGTCTTCCTCAAAGCCACAATTACTGTGTTTCCATTATTATACCCCTTTGCAATCCAGACGCAAGCAATGACATAGTCAGCAGCACATCTGATTCATCATTATTGTCTCCAGTTGCTTATCCACGTTGTAAGAACCCCACTTCGAATACTGTGTCCATTTCTGCTGTCCCCATCGTAAAAGGGACATAGATCTGTTGGAATGAGTTCAGAGGAGGACCACAAAGATGATCCAGGGACTGGTGCACCTCTGCTTTGAGGATAGGCTGAGGGCACTGGGATTGTTCAGCTTGGAGAAGAGAAGACTCCAGGGGGATCTTATAACTGCCTTCCAGTTCCTGAAGGGAGCCTACAGGAAGGCTGGAGAGGGGCTTTTCACAGGAGTGTGCAGCGACAGGCCAAGGGGACATGGTTTTAAACTGAGGGAGAGGAGGTTTAGACTGGATGTTAGGAAGTAAGTTCTTCAGTGTGAGGGTGATGAGACTCTGAAATAGATTGCCCAGAGAGGCTGTGGATGCCCCCTCCCTGCAGGTGTTCAAGGACAGGTTGGATGAGGCCTTGAGCAACCTAATCTTTTTGAGAAGCGTCCCTCCCCATGTCAGGGAGGTTGGATTAGATGTTCTCTAGGATCTCTTCCAACCCAAGCTGTTCTATGATTCTATGATCTGTGTACTATCTGCTCCCCACACACCAAGTTAGTTATGCCAGCAGAGATACAATGTAGGAGATTGTTGTGGTTTAACCCCACCTGGCAAATGAGCACAGACAGCCACTGTCTTTATTCCCCTCCAATGGGACAGGAAGGAGAATCAGAAAATTAAAAAAAAATTTAAAAAAAATTAAA